GGTATCATTTTTACAATTCTCAACGGAATCCCAATTTTACTAAACTTGTTTGCTTTTCATTGTTTCTAGATTATCTTCTGTTTTCACACTGACTTCCATTTTCCTAAAAACGTTATCAATCTAATGAAATGACTTCAGAATTTGTGTTAATTACTACGAGGTGCAGGTTACCTCCGCAGTATAAGCAACTAATGTATAATTAAGGACTTTGCTTCTACAACTCTTCCCTCTCTAAAATTACCCCTTTTCAACTATCTTACTGGATTATCCTTGACAGAATACAAACATGCTATACTTACGCCCTCTTTAAAAATCCCTCCCTGGAGAACTTAAAAGCCTCCCCAACTATCATTCATTTCTCCAGAACCGTTTCCAGCAAAACTACTTCAAAGGGCTGCCAGTGCTTTCAGTCTCCCCTCTTTCACCTCCCATCTGAACACAAGCTCACTTCGGTCAGTCTCTTTTCCTCACCACTCCACTGACACACTATGTCACCAACGCACTCTGCCGCTACACCAAATGCTCAATGCATAGGCCTTTATTTGATGTGGCCCCACAGCAGCTTTTCATACAGCTGAGGGCTCCCTCCTGGAAACAGCCTCTTCATTCATTCTCTAACTCTCTTCCTTTTACCTCAGTAGCAGATCAGAAGGAAGGGAGGTGTGTGGGGGGGACCTAAGCACCCCTACTCTTCCATCAAGACAGTAGCAAACCAAGAACAACTCTGTTTATGATGTAAGACCCTCTATGTTTTCTGCTCTTAAATATCTGTAAAAATTAATGAAAATCTGTAAAATCTACCAAAACACTTCCCCAGGCTGGACTGAAATTCCTTTAGGAGGTAAAAAAATAATCCCTTAGAGTCTTGTTTATAAATAACATGTCTCAGGTTACCTACTAACAAAACTCGGCCAGACCAGTCTACTGGCTGTTCCTTCTACATGGAGAGCCTTCTGCCTCGCAGCAGTTATCTACTACTTTGTCCTTTTGGTATCAAGCAAAAAAAAAAAAGTCTTCCTTGGAGAACTTTTCTGACATCCTCCTTCTCACAGCTCTGGTCTAAACTATGCTTGTCTACTGAACCTTCCAGACCATCATGCCTTTTTCTTCATATCACATATTACATGTAAGGCTCAAATGAGGTATGTTGGTACCCTGGGCTAGCTAGCTAACAACTTGCCATTCTTTCGACCAATATTCTTTAAAATACTTGGATGGGCCAAGGTTCTGTCTTCATTTCAGATCCTTTTGCTGTTAGTCAAGCATACCCATGTGGAAATTTTACCCAACATCCCCAAACCCTAACTACCTCTTCTAAGCATCACAGTAAAAACATTCCTTCCAAACCATATATAACACCCTCCATGAAAATACTTTTGTCAAGTACAATTTTCTCTACCTGCAATTATAATTAAACTCTGACCTGGGCAAATTCATGGATAGTCTTATGTTTTCATCCAACTCTGTCTACAATGACCAGTTACTTGCATAATTTTTTGTTTAATGTCAATCTCTGCTAACAGACTATAAACACTCAGATAGAAACAGTATCTGTTTTGTTCAACACTGTGGCCCTGGTGCCAACAAAACGCCTAATACATGATAGATGCTCAATAAGTACTTGAATGAACAAATGATTCAAGTTATATGCTACATTATCTTAGACATGGATGTGTCCATCAACAGTCCTTTGTGTAATGTGACATACAGTAATCTACTTCTCTACCAAAGACTTTAAAAGGTATTAGCGAATATAATCAGCAACATTTATATGACTTAGTTTTCTATTTTTATTACTAGCATTTTGAAAATCCAACTCCTTTTTTGTATTTTCTTTTGCTCATCCATACCAGATATAACAAGTCCTAAGTGGGAATGGAAATGGGGGAGCCCTTTATCACTCAGCCATTTCATTGCTGGCCTAGTGCCCAGCTGCATATGTGCAAAATAAAGACTTGAGGAATTACCGAAATGCCCTTTCCTTTATTCATTCTGGGAGGTAGGCAGACCTCCTCTACTAGACATTTTTACCACCATCTAATTAATCAGTTAAACAATAAAAAAACTTTTAAAATACTATAGCAATATTTGTAGAATATGGTGACTATAAAAACTTAATATCAACTAATAAAAACAGAAAATATGGGATGTTTCCAGATAATTCCTCATATTAAACTCTCATCCCTTCTAACCTGTTATAGTAAAAACTTCGAGAGGCATTTCTATACCAACTTCTTGGGAGCAGATTTTCACTTTTAAACTCAGGCAGTTTTTATACCCTCCAACTTTCTGTTTTTACAAAACAGAGAAACAATTTTGAACATATTGCTTCATGTATTTGAGGGGGGAGGTAATTATAAATAATTGTAAACATTTATGGATAGTTGATCAATGCTAGACATATATACATAAGCTCGTACTTAATCTTCCCAAGAATGTTCAAAGATCTATCATGTTTTCAATCCCATTTTATCACTGAAGAAAATAAAGGTTAATGAGACTAAATAACTTTCCCAAGTCCAAAGCTGTAAATGAGAGAACCAAAATTCTAACTCACACCTTCTTGATTCCAAATCTCATGCTCCTACTGCCCACATCACAGTCCAATGTGTTTATAATTATATAAATATTCATTTTTGATACGAGAAAACTTTTGTGTAAACAACGCTGCATATAATTAACAAATATACTCATGTAGAGAACAAATTACACCCTGAATTTAACAAAGTTTTTCTACAAAGATCTGTTTTCCAGAAAATTAAATTTTGGCAATATGCTTTATAATACACTTTAAATAAAAAGTCCCATGAAAACGATAATGGCAAATAAAAGAGTTATCTCTTTTTTCCTTCATTAGTGCATCAAAATTATAAAAAAAGTCACGAACAATGTTAAAATCCTTGTCAATCAATTTCATAATGAAAGCAGTATTTCCCTTAAGTGGTATCACATAAAGACTGATTCTATGGTATACACATATACACATATATAAAATAACATAACATGCAAGATTATACTTTTGCTATTTGCTAATTCCTAATTCTTAAAAACATTTATAAATACATCTATCATTACTATGCTGTACACCTGAAACTAATGCAAAATGATATTAAATGTAACTGTAATTTTAAAAATTTAAAAAATAAAAAAAACCAATAGGAGGAATTGGAATAGAATTTTAATGGGTATGGAAGATGTTGGGGGAAAATAAAGTCCAAAATGGAATATAATGGGGAAAAAAATCTATAGTTATAAAAGAAAATAAATACTTGATATGTCATCAGTTATGTTATTCAAATCTATTAGCTCATTTTGGTAAAAAGTATTAGTAATATCAAATAGGGTGTAGGTCAAGTAAAATCCATAAAAAGGCTCCTTACTCCCTCTTTTTCTTCTACCTGTTCATGGAGAGGGTAGTGGGACTGGTTCCTGGCCTTTGCCCATATCAGCACAAAAGGGAAATTGTCAGGTAAGTGCAGTGTCTGCTTCTCAAGATTGCAGTCTAAAATCTCTGATTGCTGTGAGTCATGAGTGTTTTCACTTGGTAAAACTGGGAAGGTGAAATCTATTTCATTTGCTATGAAGAAAGTCATAGCACTACTCACAAACACTAACTTGCCAAAGGTGAGTGCACAGCTCTGTAGTAAATGTTGGCAAACATTTCTCTAAGAACACAATCAAATGTTATTTCTATGCACTGAAGTTGACCTTACTTAAGAACCTAAACAATCATCAATCACCTTTTAATTATGGGCCTCAACAGTAATATGGCATTCAAAGCAAAAAGTTAAACAACATAAAATTTTAATCTTACATCATCATATCTAAGTTAAGACAAAATACATACATGTGTATTCAGTTTAAAAGGGAATGAATCAATGATCATGGGCATTTTACATTTCTATAGAAGGGTGGCTTATTTTTTAGATTCATGGGAAGGGAAGAAAAAAATCCAAAATATGATGCTATTATAAGTTCCTTCTAGTAAATTGGGGTGGGGGAGAACTGAAAAGTAGATAAATAACTTCATGATCAGCTATAAACTATCATATATAATTAACCAGGTATTATTAAATAGTCTTGTAGCAAAATATCTTCTTGCCTTCTAAACCCTAGAAGGGAATATTAATATTGCATGTTGAAATATTTCCATCATAATTAGCCATCCTATTGAAAAATGATAATAACTTAAGACTTAGATAAAGATAAGAACTCAAGCTATATGCTGTTGTTTGTTTTTGTTTTTAAATATGTTCTATTGATTTTAGAGAGAGGGACAGAGAGGGAGAGAGAGATAGAAACATCAGTGATGAAAGAGAGTCATTGATCGGCTGCCTCCTGCATGCCCCCCACTGGGGATCGAGCCCATAACCTGGGCATGTGCCCTGACCGGGAACCGAACCCTAATCTCCTAAATCATAGGTCGATGCTCAACCGCAGAGCCATGCCAGCCGGGCGCTATACGCTGTTTTTGTAGCCAAACCCCTAACCTTAAAATTCTTTTAATGGATACTTAACTTACAAGTTACTTAAAAGTGAACGATCAGATTCCAAGCATTACAACTTCATGGCATTTGTATCATTGTCATCCAAATAAGTTCCAATCTCAACAACGGCAAGGAGAAACATCCTGATTCGCTTTTTAAAAATTTCTTAATGGATAATTTCTATGAGAGATTTATGCATTTATACTTACAAGCAGTTACACTCACGATAGACTGTCCTTCCCATCTGGGTAGCTGAAGGTAAACATTCTTTTGCAAATTTCGGTATTTGAATTCTGGTATCAGATGACTTAATACATAAAATCTAGACTAAGTAATACTGAATCGCCTTCCTACAGAAATCTGAGTTTAGTTCCTACTCTCAGTGGCTCTGTGTTGTTGCGCAGAACTTGTTTGGATGTAGTGGGCCTGCATGCGACCTAGGGTGGGCTCACTGAACCAAAGAACAGTCACCTCCAGTGCTGAGATAAACCAAGGCTTCGCTCGTGGCCTTACCTTTGCCATGACTTCTCCCGTCCTCCAGAAGCGGCACTACAATAGTGTTGTTCACATTTCCAGGTGACCGCACGGCTGTGTAGACGACAGGCACCGACTGCACCACCACGGGGATGCGGTGCACGTGACTCAGTTTGTTAGACTGTAAGTTCATAGGGCTCGAAGGCGGCACGGGGTGAATTATGTGCAAAAACTGCTGGCCTCCCACACCGGACGCCGAGGCGACGAGGGGCCCTGGAGTTAACACTGTTGATGAAGACGATGCTGAAGACACCGACGTTATGACGGTTGGGGACGAGGCTGGGCGACTAGAAGATGATGAAGAGGTGGAAGTGGAGGAAGGGGAGGAGGCAGACGCTGTCATGGGGACGGGGGAGGGTGACACCGCGGTGGGGGACGTCCTGGCTTTGTTGATGGACAAGTCCACTGGCTCAGTTTGTGTTTGGAAGTGATCCACAGATAACGAGTCCTCCGGGGGCTCCCCTTTCACATTATTTAACAGCAGAGGAACAGCTTCCATATCGGGGTAGTTGTGGACGTTTGGAGACTGTGCGGAGAAAAACAGAACACACATTGATCTTTGTTAAGCACCCACTTTAATAGAGGCAAGATTTATTACTGGAATGCTTATTCATTTTTCTCTTATTGCGATGAGACATTAATTTGTTCCCCAAATATATCAAGGATGGCTCTGTGCCAATCACCATGATTAAAGCTGAGAGTCAAAAGTACGAAACAGAGTAATAAAGGCCTCTGCTCTTAGGACACTTCCATCCTGTTGGGAGAGGCAGGCGCGGCTGTTCAAGCCCAGGGACCAGCCGCGAGAGTTTCAGTCAGGAAAGCACTACCTGCTTAAAACTGTAAGCGCAACCTATCTGATGAAAACATTCATTTGCTGGTCTGACCCATCCTTCACTTAGGAATCTTAGTTTCCTCAGGTATAAACTAACGGGAATTCTGATTAGATGGCCTTAAACATCATCCCAGCTCTAGGTTCTAGGATTTTGTAACCTAACCCCTACCCAACATTATAATCTGGAGGCATTTACCTGACATCAATACTGGGAAAGCTTTCATCTCTGATGAAAAAGCTACCATACAATTCTCATGAGCATTAAAGAAGGGGCCAAAGTTCTCCAACCTTGCACACCCGCCTATCACATTATTAAATACAAATCATTTCTAACAATTGGATTATAACTTAGAAAATGATAATTTCAGAAAAAGCTTTTTCTGGAAATTTTAAATTGTCTATGACCGTCTTGTTTAAATTAAGATAATGATAATAATTTTGACCAAGTTCAATTTCATTCTCCTAGGTTTTTTTTTTAAAAAAGTTTTTATTGATTTGAGAGAGAGAGGAAGGGGGGAGAGAGTGAGAAAGAGAAGGGGAGAGGGAGAGAGANAGAGTGAGAAAGAGAAGGGGAGAGAGAGAGAGAGGGAGGGAGGGAGGGAGAGAAACATTGATCATCTGCCTCCCAAATGTGCCCCTCCCAGGGATTAAACCCATAACCTAGGTATGTGCCCTGACAGGGAATGGAACCTGCCACCTTTTGGTGTACAGGACAGGGCTCCAACCAACTGAGCCACCTAGCCAGGGCTCATTCTTTTAAGTTTTAATGAGCAAAATTTAACAATAATGATGACAATGATGATAAAGACTCCAAGATTCTACCCAGACTAATGGACTCAGCATTTCATTACTTGGCATTAATATAATTTATTCTGACACTTAATCACTCATAAATTCAACGAATATTTATTGGATGCCTATTTCTGAGGCCCACAATGGCTCAAGCGTTCACTTAGCATGTGGCAACCTTAACAGAGAGGTTACATCTAATTTGAAAAGACTAATGTAGACATTATGGTTCTGTTACATGAAAACCAAAACCTCTTTCCAGCTTCATTATGGTATCAGAACAACAATGCTGAAAATTACATTAAATTGGTACATTTTATTCTTTGTTTAATAAAAGATTTTGGTTTGCTATCCTCCCCACCTCAATTTGAACATACACTTAAAGGAACAAAACGTGCTTCTTAAAAACTTTCTTTATAGGCTATAAATTATAGCTCTATTCAGAACATACAATAGGCAGTGTAAGGGAACTTTATCCTGCAACAATGAGAAAAGAAAAAAAAAGTTAACAATGGTACCAGATCTACTAAAGAGGGGAAATAAGTTTATGTTTTATTGTTCTGTTTTGCTTCTACGATAACATGATTACTGACCGACAAAAAGATAAAATTGGAAAATACAAAAATGAATCATCCAAAATATCTCCTGCATGAAATTCTAAATAACAAGATTTCATTTATGTGCTGAAATTGAGAAGCTTTTAATCTTCTCAGACACTGAGAAACAAAAGAAAAAAATGAACACCATGAACAACTACTTCCATAAAAAGCTGTTATCATTACCCAGTCTTCTAACTAGAACATTATTTCAATTGGTTCCCAGCATTATCACTAATTTCTTTGTAGGACATTATGTTTCTCATTAGTATGTTATACCCATATAGGAATTCTTTGTTATTTTATGAAAGGCTGCTTTCATAAAATATCTCAACTGATTTATCATTAAAATTATCAAATATGTCATTAAGCCTATGCTATCAAATGCTGTTTGATTTCTGATAGAGTCCTGATTAATTTCTCTTTTCTCACTCTATTAGACATAGCCAAGATTCTAATTTTGGAAACAGTGACCACTTCCATCACAAGTTTTTCTCCTTCTAAGTATCTACTTAGACATAAATTTCCTACATAGGTTTACAGACCAAGGGCTGAGATGTAATTCATCACTGTAGAAACATTTGGCAATGTAAACAAAAGACTACTTTAGCAGATTATGCTAATACAGAAGGTGATAAATATGGAGCTTATTTGTAAAGAGATGGCTTCTGAGGCATCAAACTTCACTGAGCGTTGCAACCTTAGAATTCCCTAGATTATGAACAGGAGTTCACCTTTTGAAGGTATCTGCTTAGTCCCTCACTAAGAAAAATATTTCCTTTTGAAACTTTTTTACAACAATGGAAGGGTGTTCCTCCTATAATTCTGTTGTATATACTGGAAACCTGTGAAGACTTACATTCATAGCACCTAGGAGCTTTCAAATACTTGAGAACTACATAGCTTTTGCATGAGCCTCACACCAAAATATACATAATGCTCATAAAAATTAGGAAGAAAAAAAACCAAACCTCTGAACTCCAGATCATCTTGCGTGGAACCTTGGACACATTATGCATGAATATAGAAGCATAAACTGCCCAGAGACACATGCTGGCTCCTTTTACATATGGAGCAGCTGAAATGCAGCCAGCGTGTCCAAAACCCCCGCCTCATCAGTATAAAGAGCACAAATTCCTTACTGTATCGTTCATCTGTTTCTAGTGTTGACACGGCACCGTATCCTCACCGTCCCTACTACTTGCTGCTACTGTGGTAACGTGAAAGGCAAAGCCGCCCACAATTCCAGCGCTGGGCTGCACAAACATATACGTAAAGCCAGCAACAATGCAGAAATACGGTTTCAAAACAGCTATGGCACACTCTTGGCCCTCCTTTTAGGAAAGAGAAAAGACCTGGAAGGCTTGATCCTGAAATCAGCATGAGGAATTCCTTTCCTTACTTTAGGAAAGCGGAGCACTGAAATGCACTGGTCCTGAGGGCTGAATCCATGAACGCGCAGCCACGGTGAGGCGATGGGAGCCCAGGAGGCAACCGAGAGAACAACAGCTGAGAAAACAAGGGGAAACACCCGAAGGGAAGCACCTAGGGCAGTGACCAGTGAAATAAAAGGACTATGTGTACTTGAGAAAGTGAGAGAAGATATGGGTATGTTATCAGGAAACGAAGTAATTTTTTAAATAAAATGTCTTAAGAAATAACTGCATAAATACACACAAAAGCACAGCATGGTAAATATAACAATATACTTCATAAAAATATGTATGTGAAAACCTAAAGATAAATGAAGCAAGATTATATTGTCACATTATCACTTTCCTCAAAAGTCTAAATGCCAGTTTTATTCATAAAATAAATATTATCCATAATATTCTAGTGAACACATTCTTCTCAGTGATCTGGGGGATTACATGCGAGCTTTTCTAATCACATAATCATTTTCCTGAACAAACATTTTAAAATGTAACTTCACTTTTTGGCATTCTGCTGAGTGAATGTAAAAATGAATCTAAAACCACCTCTGTGTTAGTCCCCAGAGTATTAGATGTGTTTTCTACAGTCCTCTACTCGTATCGGTCGAATAAAAGGCATTTTTAACACTAGTCATGTATTTTAATCACAAGATCTTAAATAGAGAGAAAAAGTCTCAGAGCTACCCTATCTTTGGAAAGCCCTTTAGAAATTATGTGTAATCATGGCTGAGGACCACTTGGACAATAGTCTGTTAAATGTTAGCCAAGATTTATAAACTGCTTGTTTAGACTTTAACGGCACCAGGGATTTTTAGAGAAGTGGCATCTGTACTCCCCCCACCCTAACAGGATGTCCCCAACTATCTATTCATTCATCCATTCACCTATTCAGCCGGCCACTCAGCCAGCATTTAAATAAATTATAATTTTATCTTTATAAATTTTGAGATATAATCTCATGGCAGTTTTTAGAAAAGATTGTAATGGGACTTGCCTAACATTACATAGCTCCTGGCTTAACTATTACAATAATCTTTGCTTTATAGCCTGTTGTGTGGTTATTATAGAAAGAAAATTTGATTTGGATACAAAAGACTTATTTATTTGCTGTGCAATCTTGGTATTATTATCATTAAAATTCTCTAGGTTTGAGTTTACCCACCTATTAAAGAGTAATATTAATTCCAAACTCATATAATTGTTGTAAGATTGAATTAAGGGTATTAAGTGCTTTTAAGTAATGCTGAGAACTGTGGGAGAGAAGCAATTGAGTTTTCCCTTTTAGAACTAAAAATTCCAAACACAACCTAATCTATTACTATAACATTCAGAAGTGACTTCATTTCCTGAACTCAGAGTAAGATATATTCTGATGTGGGATTGAATAATTTAGCCACACAGAGGTACAGTGTTTGCTAAACAACCAAAAACATATGTATTACAAAAGTAGCTGAATAAATTGGGATATTGTGAGCATTTTTAGGGTCCACATATGATTATAAATGACACATTTTGTCTTAAAATATAGAAGAAAATCATCTGAAACTTTTAAATTTCTTTATTTTTTAGCTTAATTAGATTGGTCCACAGGATGATCATGTAACAGTTGATGTGATATTTTAATTACCTGGCCTGATTTCTTACTTCCACAATATAAACAGTCTATATAAATCCACAGTTCAGTTTGTATAATTATAATGATATATAAATATATTAAAATAATTGTTATGGGATGTTGACTGTTCTTTAACAGCCTTATCATGGGATGAAAATAGCACAAAATTATTTTTTGTGTGTGTCTCAGTAGAAAACTAGTTTATGTAAGTATCACTTTCTGACTGTGATTAATTGAACATGTACTTTTTGTGGGAGAAAC